CGTAGCGCTTCAGGCTCGTGCGATAAATGACATAAATCTCCGAGCGAGCAAGCGAAGCTTTTAAATTGGAATACAGGACTCGGTTGACCTTTATCAAGACACTTATATTTAGTTGTGTAGGATTGTTCTCTAAGGACGACTCCCAAGCTGGGAGATCAAAAAACGAAAATGGGCTATAATCGGAAGTGCTTCGGTTAGATACTCTTTAAAACCAGTTAATTTTACCAGTGGCGAGGCGTGAATGATCGATTATCGATATTTCCCCATTTGAAGCTGTGCAAAAGAATCGATTATTACACCGAAAAAAAATCTCCAGCCGTGGAAGCCGTACTTACGGGCTATATAGACTTACCGTCCGCGTTTCGGGCTCAGAGGCCTAAAATCCCGGACGTAGCACCCGGAGCAATCGAAGCTGCGGCTCCAGCACCCGGAACTTCCGGCCTCTGAGCCCGGAACGGACGGTATGGCTTTGTAGCCAGGAGCTTTTTTTTCAGTGTAAGGTGTTTGTTGCGTACACCCTATTTATCGATCCTTTTCCATAGGTTCGAATGGCAGATCGATCGATGTATCGCAAAAGCACGCCACGCCACTGAATTATGTCTCAAAATTTGTTCACTTCGGAAACGTCCTATCGACACAAAGTGAAGAAAATGAACAAAAGATTGAATGGAACCGATGACTCGCTAAAATATTTACTGTTGCACGTTGCTAAGATATCGCAGACTGAGAGTAGAACCGAAGATTTTGCTTATTTTGTCTTGGGATTAAGCGATAGGAAACTTTTAGAAATGGGTCGTTTTTGAATTGAACACAATGCGCCAATGTTAACTTTATAAGAGGTAAAAAAAGAAATACAAATCAGAGAAGAATCGAAAAATGAGAAACTTCGCCTGATTAAATAACAACGTTTCTGCTATTTTTTTAAAATTTGTTATCGTAAATAATTTTAAAAAATGTAAATTTTTTATTCACTGCTATAAGACGCTGGTAATTTTTAATCATATTTATTGTTTACTGAGTGTTCGCGTGTGTACGAATTATTGCCTAACCGTTTTATAATTTATTCTATAAATTTTGAAAAGATTCCATAGAGATGGTGATACATGTATAAATGTCAAATTCTCAATCCTAACGAGTTTTCCAGCTCTGCTCTGAAGTGCAAAGACATATGTGTTAATTTGTGAAATGTTAAATGAATTCCTGTCTCTTAATGTGTCGTCATTAAGCCAACAGCGATGATTCGTCCATAGAGTTATTGTTTCAGCGCAGCAAAATAGTCCTTGAGATCGTCATTTTCTTTCAAAATTGAACTCTGGTAATCCCTGTCAAAAACAAATTATAATGTGTATCATATCAATCGGTTATATCACCTCGCGTTTGCGTGTCTCTAAATCCTGGTCATGTTTCAGCGCCACTGCTGCTGGAAGTGGTGGTTCATAATTAAATACTCAGCTTCTTTACCGAAAAGAACCGTCAAAAAGCTAATGGTTCGTTGAAAACAACAGAGGTGCTAATTTTTCAACAAGGCCTGCTGAAACCTGAAGTTATTTTTACGGACAAATTACTTTGACATTTTTGTAACGCTTAATGTGATCACGCACCTCGTCCTCGTCAAATAACAAACCAAAAGTCAAAACTATTTGCTACACTTGCGGCTTGCCAGGAAAAAACAGAAGATGAGCAATGGCGAAATGATAACACAACGCGGTATTATAACCCATGATTAAATTTTTCAAAAATATTCCCGAGAATCCATTTTGAACCCCAAGGAACACCCCAAAATGCTTGCGAATACTGAAAACTATTTCCAACTATTTGTGCAGTTCACTTTCGTTGATGTTATTTGAAATACTTTTCCCTAATATTTGCACTTGCAATACCTAGATCTAGGAAACTTAGGATTTGTAAAATCGGAAATTCTGTGAACTTTAGGGATTTTTTTTCTTAAAATGTTTAGGGGGTTGGTCAGTCGATTGACTCATCAACACTTCCTATAGACCACTATTCGATCTCACTCTCACTTAGTTTACAGTCGGAACTTTTGTAATCGAAATCCCTCGAGAGCTAGGTCTAATTCTTGACTTTTTGTTACCTTTAGTCGGGATAAATATTTTTCTTTTCGCCTTTTCTTTGTCTATGTTGAAGGTAGAAAAAAAAATAATCGAATAAGACCCGTTTCGCATTATAATTGAGTATGCACCCTTCTTTGAATGTAATTTCAGTGACATTTAAGACGATACAAACAAATAAAACAACTCTTTCAATTATTTTAAGCCGCGTCTGTTTACAAATTCCGCCATTCCACCAATTTCCATTTTTCTTGAGTCCTAGGCAGCCCCTCGAAACCCGAGACGGTTGACGTAAATTCCCTGCTCGGAGGTAGGTTTAGAAGTAAATGGATGCAAATGTTGCCCGTAAATAACAGAACTGAGTCCTCAGACGTTTTTCTCCGTGGACTGGAATCCTGTTTATCGGGTTCAAAAAGTGCATCAAAGCCTTTCGCCGAAATTCCGCTCATGTACACGCGCCTCAAGAATTTTAATCTTGCAACGATGGATCGTGATGTGTAATAGCGGCCTTGACCGTGGTGGCGTCTCGTTCGTGAATGATACCAATTTGGATATCCCCCCTTCCCCCCCCCTCTCCCCCCCTCTCCCCTCG